CAAATAGCCCCATGTGCCCTAGGACCAGAGGTCCCCAAGTTCCCCCAGGAGTCCCCCACATATTCCAGGGAGGGGTTTGTCTCCCTCTGCCCCAAGGGTGGAGGTCTCTGCTTGCCCTGGGTCCCTCTTGGGTGCACCCTCTGCCCTTGAAATCGGGGGTGTCCCTGTCCCAGGAGTCTCCTCTGGCCCTGAGGATCCTCTCCCCTGCCTGGGGGTACCTCCACCTGCCCTAGGGGTTAGGGGTCCCTGCCCTGTCCCAGGATCCTGCTTGTGCCTAGGGCACCCCCACCTGCCTGGGATGTAGGTGAATGTCCCTTCTGCCCTTGGGGAAGAACATCCTGGATCAGAGAGGGGAAGCGAAGATGCCTGTCCCACTCTGAGGAGGTTGATGACTGTCCCCAGGGGTCCCACCTGGGGATGATGATGATTGAAGTGGTGGGGTGGGTGGAGGGTGGACTGTGTTTGTCTGTGTGTTCGTTAGGGGGTCTCTGCCTGTTCCTGGGGTCCCCACTATGGAGTGGTGGTGTCCCTAATCTGGAGGAGGGAGGGGGAGGTTGTGTCCCTGTCTGCCTTGGGATGCCACTACCCACCCTGAGGAGTGGAGGTCCCCAGGAGCCCTCCCTCTGCCACAGGGGGTGGAGGTCTCTGGCCCTGGTGCAGTGGTGGTGCCTTTGCTGGGGGCACCTTCTGCCCTTGAAATTGGGGGTGTTCTTCTACTCTGACAAGTTCCCTGTGGGCCTAGAGGAGGAGGGAGTGGTCCCTGTCTGTCCCCAGGTAGTCCTCCCCCCATCTGCCCCAGGGATGTGTGTGTGTCCCCTACACACTCCGGGAGTGGAGGCCCTTGCTGGGATGGGGAGGGCCTCCAGCTCTCAAAAGGTGGGAGGGGGTGTCCTTTGTCTCCAGTGGGTAGTGGGTCCTTGCCATCCAGGTGTGGGGGGTATGTGTCCTTTCCCCAGGGGTGCAGGACCCCAAGCCTTCTCCTGTGGTACCCCCATTGGCCCTGGGAGGGGTTGGGAGTCTATCCTAGAGTTTGGGGGTCCTGGCTGTTCTGGGCTGTGAGTAGCCTGGAGGTCCCCAGGCTGTGTGTGTGTGTGGGTTGGAGGCCCTGGCATCCCCTGGGAGGACGATGAGGCTGATGAAGCTGATGAGGCTATGGTGCCCACAGGTGTTCCGTGTGGAGGTGCTGTGCAATGGTCGGCGGCACACGGTGACGAAACGCTACAGCGAGTTCCAGGCGCTGCACAAACGGGTGAGACCCCTGGCACTGTGGGGGGCTCAGCCTCGTCCTCCAGGGCCCGTGCTGCCCTCATGCCCCCCATGCTCTGCCCCAGATCAAGAAGACTTGCAAGGTCCCTGACTTCCCTCCACGCCATGTCCCCAACTGGATGCCCAAAGTGCTGGAGCAGCGCCGGCAGGGCCTGGAGGTCTACCTGCAGGTAAGGTGCCAGCTGGAGGTGTCTTTGGGGTG